GAACATCTCATAGAAATATGCAAATGTCTTTCTGTTGTGTTACAACCTATTTCTAAACAACGCAGTTAATGCAGACCATGCCCGGTTTTATTGGAGAGGAAGAAAAAAAAAAAAAAAAACCAAGGACAGTAACCCTAAAAATGAAAGCTGCTGCTCTCCTGAGGGCGGTACTATGGTAACCAGATGAACAGAACCAACACCACTCCCCCACCACCCTTTTTTTTCCTCCTTCAACAAGCTACTCTCTCCAGCGTTGGAATCCATCAATAATTCAAGCATCTTTGCTATTCCAATGTTTCCTGACAACCACCCATTCACTGGCAAAAATGTACCACATTTTTGAGGAATCATTATCTTCTTGCTTTCTTGTTCTCTTCGTCTCGTGGCATTAGCACTGCTTTGCAGCATCAGCTTTCATTTCTTTGGGTTACTATCCTTCATTTTTAATTTTATTTTGCGCGCAAAAATAATTATTGTGATGATTTAGATACAAACGCAATATGAACACCGTCCAATTAGAACTAAATAAGTAAATAGAAAATAAATGCAGTTTTAGAAAAGCAAGTGTCATAATCAGTAGTTACAGGGAAAAGAAAAGCGAGGCTCACGCTTCTCTTCATTCGTGGGTATTGGTTGCCCCCTGGTGGCAATGCATGTATGAAAGTCTTGAGTATTTTTTTTTTTTTTTACTTTACCGTTTGAAATGTGCTTTGTGTTTCGATTTAGATAAACAATCCATTACTTCACACTCCCTTATAGAGATATTTGGCTGCAGTTCTTACTTTCCCACTGAAAAAAATAGTCAGCATAAAGAGCTTCGTTATCTGCCTTTGGAACAAAACAAAAAAACAGAAATTATTTTGTTCTTATCGAAAAACACAGTTCTTGTGAAATCTTTGGGCATATTCACAAGCTTGAAAGTGACTTTTTACTAGCCCTTATTTATAGTTCCAGAAACCCCACATTAAATACCCTTTATTTCATTTATAAGTATGTCCACAAGGCAACATGTACATATATTTTCTACATTCGGTTTACTGAAAATAAACCAAGAGTATTTAAACATGTTCATATTTCAATAATTCCACAAGTGAGAAATAGAAAGCAACTAAAGTCTCCATTGTGAGATCAGTAAAGTTCACTATATTTATAATTTATTTGTAATTGATGGACTCATGGACTCTTCTCTTACATAAAGCTACTTCGATCTTAATTTTTGTTTTTTTTTGCAATGTTTTGGACCTTTGTTGACTTTTGTCTCCTGATTGCTTTCACTCTGCTTTACTTTAGCTATGTCTGTGAGTCCTAAAAACTCCTAGTCTCTAGGTTACACCAGGAGAAAGGGTTCCTGGTAGCTTCATGTTTAAATATTTACTAATCTGTTATTGTTGTTTTTCCCTCTGCAAGTAACAACCAATGGGATGAGAATCTTTGACAGTTTTCTGAGCACAGGGTATTTCAAGGGTCCATCTTTTTGAAATATCTTTTGTAGTATTTTGACCTGCCTTCGAGAATTAAATCTTATTTTTAGCCTAATTCATAAAAAGAAAAGTAGCTACCCAACACATATATTTTTTAGGTATTACTTTCCTTAGGATAAAACCCTCTCTGATTGCAAAAAAAAACAAATAAAAAACACATCACATGCTCAAATACTATTTATTATACCACTATGATTAAGTCAAAAAAAAAAACCAATGACCTTATTTTTTGTGCACATTTATCATAAATCTGTTTAGGTGTTCTAATAAAACCGAGATTCAGATTTCTGTTAATAAATTCTTCTGTGTTGTGCTTTCCTGATTGAAAAACAAGCTTGTGTTGTTTATGATTTATGAATAAAAATTAATCAAAAGTTTAGACATCAGCAGGTACTGGTGTGTACGTCTTTGTGTATATCAGAAGTGTCATGCAGTTTAAAGGTTAAGAGAGTGATTGAATTCTCTTATTGAGAACATTTATTGGCTTGCAGTAACAAACAAAACACATCCTTTAAGAGATTATGTTCATATTTAATAAGTTATAGAAACTAAAAAGAAAAAAAAAACAAAATTTACACTTTGACAATATGCAGTAAAAGTGGGAAGACTGCAAGCAGTAACCAACTGCAACAAATAGCATCATACAATACATTAAACAAATGTTTCATTATAAACACATAAAACATGTAAACACATATGTTTAAGGCATTTTATTGTTTGGGAAGCCACGATGCCACATGCATAATTAAGTTTATATGATGTATCTGTGCATAGCAAGTGATAATCAGCAAGAAGTTGATTGCTTTTAAACATGAGACTAAAGAGGCTAGATGTACGCTGCCAATGTAATACCTGTTCATAACAAAAATAAAAGGCCAATGAACGATATTTGAATTATAAACACACAGATCCAAACATTTACAATAGCATACATTTATTTTTTTTTTTAAATAATGTAAACTGCTTTGCGATCCGATGGCTTCATAAAGCACAGCTTTTTAATCCTAACTGGTTCCAGATAGATAAAAAAAATATTTTTAAAAGAAATGCTGAAAAATAACACTCATAGGGAAGAAGGGGTAATGTTGGATAAGGACACTGTTTTATGGCAATTTCTAGAGAAAAGAAGAATATTGAGACACCAACAAATCAGATAAGACAATAACACAATACAAAGAACTGAATGCAGCCAAACTATATAAAAAACTGTTTGCAATTTGTTATTGTATCTACAATACCTTGCAAAAATCATAATAGTGTAACCTGGAGTAATTTAACACCAAAAGCTTAATAATGTAATGTTAAACAAAATGAATAACGTTTATATACCAGGTAGATTACTAAAAGGTTTTGTTTTTTCTAAGCAAATCTTTTAACTGTTCAATTCCACAGAAACAATGAGATTTACAGTGTGCATACATTTATTTACATAGAAATAAAAATATTTTACCTAAACTCGAAGAACTGATATTTGTATCGATCTGCAAACATTTCGAAAGGTTTCTTTTGGCAGTTGTTTGTGGTCCCTATAGAAGCTGATAACAAACGTGAAAGTTAGATTGCAAGCCTGCAGCTCCTAATCAGAGAAATAAATCACTTCTGATTGTTGGTATCGCCACAGTGAGGTACTTGGTTTTTTCAATGCACTGTTTAGATTTACCTAAATACAAATACCATAACAATCAAACTCTTATAGCTCTATTTAGATCAGAGCTACTGACAAATATGCAGCTACCAGTATGAAAGGAAAAAGAGTGGATAAGTACTCAGTGTTTACTACATTTATATTTAAATGTCCGATCCCATTTCATTCAAAAAAGAATTTTCTTCTTTAATAAATAAATCCTTTATGTTACATTGCAGAAAATGCGTAAAAATAGGGACATCATAACCACATCCTTAAAAGTGTTTATACTATACATAGAACTTTTACTAGCCCATATTGGGTTTACTTTCACATAAACATGGAAAGCTTTAAGGCTTTAAGAGGATATTTCAAAGAAAAGAAGAAAAGTAAGGTACAGGATCCTTTTCTTTGTTTCTGATTTCTATTCAGACCACCTCCAAATATTTCTGATCATTTCATAAAGATGTTACATAAAAGCAAAATAAAACAATATCCACATTATCGCAGCACTCAAAGTTATCAAGGCTCATCTGTATTGAAAGAAAACTGACTTTTATGCTTCTGAGGGAATTATTATTCTTTCAGATTGTTTGATTCAGGTTACGAACTCTCAGAAACCACTTCATGTTCGTCCAGGGATGTGAGGGATGTTCCCGAATGAGGCAGCTGGCACCCAGCTGTAGCTTTCTGCACTTCATAGTTGTAGAGGTAATTGTGGACCAGATAACGTTCCCTTTTGATTCTTGCCTTCACATCTGACGGGACGTCCGGTATAAGCCAAGCGACAAAGAACTTCACCACAAAGACCACATGCTGTAGAGGAAAACATAATATATGGTAAACATTTACTTATTGCTCATATAATAGTTTATAGTGTTACATTTTAGGACAGAGCTGTGTTGTCTTACCTCCATGATAATAATAAAGGCCATTTTGGCTGCCAAGATATGCCAAAACTGCATGGTGTGGTTGTATTGCTTCTCATGGCCTGGAGGGTAACGATAGTCTCGATATCTAAAAATTAGACCAATCAGAGTGGCATCACACATCTATTAATATCTACTCTTAGAAAATAAAAAGGTTTAAGTGATGCCCTATCTTGCATCGTCCAATACAGTGCCTTCCAACGTATTCCTTGGACCTTGAGTTTCAACATTTTTTAACAGAAAGGTCCAATCTAAGCTGTTGAACTGTAACCCTGGCTTAGGGTTTAAAGTCACTGTCCTCAGGAAAAGGAAGCTTTATCTCAGTTTTAATTAAGGTGGTCCTCACGGTCCTCTTTCCTGCTTTTCTGTTTAAAGCACTTACTGACAGGCATGTCAAACATTTTTAACAATGTCAGGGTAAGGTGACAAAAGGTGACGAAAAAGGTGACTGAAAGTTGTTCTTTGAGTTTTTCAAAACATTTCATAACGCAGCTTTAAAGATCCTCACAGCTTTCACCCTGACCTATCCGCTGTTTTGTTTTCTTGGTCTGCAAGGGGCTGTTTGTTGTCTAATGCTCTCTAACAATCCTCCAAGGCCAGTATGAGACAACTGGACTTATACTGATTTTAAAATACATTTAAGTAGGCTTGGTTTTCTAATAATGCGACTTCTAAGGTCAACAGATTGAACAGGGCTAGTGGAATCAATATCAGATGGCATGATTTTAAGATAATTATTCTTAAAGAAATGTGAAAACCTTTAATAGTTTTCCTTTTTTCTTTCCTAGTAATGGTCATTCACATAAAATCCTTTTGAAATAAATAAAAACTTATGATGGTAAGTTAAAGGTGTAGTGGAGGATGTTCTTTTTCCATTTGGATCATAAAAATAAGTTGTGCTCCTAATTGTCGATCATTCTGGTGATATGTTATTGTAAGGCCATATGTCCTCGTCCACATTTTAACTTACTGGTGATGAGTCTGACATGGTGGAAAAATTGCACATCTCCTTTTGGTGTGCATGAGGAGAAATTGGCTCCTGCATGCTCTCATATGCATTTAATAACTGTTCCCTCTTGGGAGCGGGTACAGGGTTGTGCATGTGCATTTTTTTTTATTCACCACTATACCTTTAAGCAAAACATTTTCAACAGGTAAAATGACATTTTAAAGCATTGTTTTCTTGTCATAAGTTTTAAAATAATGAAATTAAAAGTTTTTGCAGATTCCAGCAAGGGAAAGCATTCTGTGCAATTATTCAGGCTTCAGCTCATTATTTCTTAGTTTTAAAATTCCATTAAAATTATTAAGCTCTCTAACGGGCCCAAAAAAAGGTAATCTTACAAATTCATCAATATCAAATCACAAAGCAGCAGGTGAACTGAGTTTAGTTTTTAGAACTGCAGTTTTCTATAAAATGTATCAAGGTAATTTTCACCTCCCCAGATTGTACAATTTTCCAAACATCTGTGAAATATGATCTATATATATGACAATATAGAAAATTCGAAATATGGCCAAAGTAGATGTTGCCGCCTGAAAAGTACAAAAAACACTTAATAAAACCTTTAGAGAGCTATTACCTGCATGTGGTGGTGGAGTTATCATGCCAGTAGTCCTCAGGCATGTTGTCTGGGTGCATCTGTGAAATGTTGTACACTGACAGGCTGTTGTTGATATAGCCGCTCATACTGGAGTCTTTACTGTAGGCATACAGGTATACCATACGTGGGATCATGTCTGAAGTAAACGCCATGATAAAAGCCTGGAAAAAAACAAATCCAAATCAATTGTTCTGAATGGGTGATGTTTCAAACTGGTACAAGCAGTGTAGAAAAATGTAGAACCATGACAAACTTACATTGGTGACAACAGACAAAATGGCCACTGAATTGAGGATCTCCTGCCATGCTCCGATGTTTCGGGCCTTGGATGCCACCGGTCGCCTGAACTGGGTGGTAAACTTCCAGGCGTCAACTCTAATTTCCAGGATGTTGTTAAACAGGGCAAGGAGGGGGGCCAAGGGGAAGGAGGCCACAAACAAAGTGATGAATCCAAACTGGATCACTGTAAAGACATCAACGGAGGGACAAACAATGTTGTGCGAGTTAATAATTAAAAAGATAAACTCCAAGTTCAGTTTACACTGATGAAAATGAACTACCGTAGCTCACTTTCATAGTTCAATTTTTCTAAAAATAAACTTAGTTCACAAACCTAATAATGAACTTGTTCACATTTACTTGGTAAATTAAGCCACAATCCTACGCAATAGAAGCTCATATTTCACCCTTTAAATGTGTGGTCATAATATATGGAAAGAAATGGAGAATTCTGGATGCAGTCATTGTATAATACTGTATGTGCAGTGAAGCCTTTATTTAGCCAAATTACAAAGAACTTCAGAAACATACAGGTACATTCAGGTTCTGCTTAAAAGTTCTGTATCAAAAATTATTTCCTCATGAACATTCCTCATTCAGTAGCTGATATTTCCAAAGATAGCATGGATGCTTTAACTCGATGAGTTGCTTTAAATTTGAAGTGGACGTAGCTGACGTACGGATTTATTTTTTTAAGTCACGTTGGGCACAGTTTGCACAAAAACATTGTCCGACTCTTCCTCTGATAGTTTATAAAACTCTGCTAAGTGCTCAGCAAAACTGGCATCAGAAATATTGTAGTACATGAGTACATAGTACATGAGTCTTAATCGCACAGACTACTGTAGTACTAGCAGTTGACATGCTGGTCTGTCATGCTGTTTGCCGGGATATGTGCCGTAAAACCTGATGATATCAAATTAAATGTGTCGTTATAAATTGAATGCAAACATGAGCTTTATGTGTCGCTTATTAAGTTGTTCCCTACATGCATGCGTGGGTTCTCTCCAGATGCATGCGTGGGTTCTCTCCGGGTACTCTGGCTTTCTCCCATAGTACAAAAATATGACTGTTAGGTTGATCGGTATCTCTAAATTATCTGTAGGTGTGTGTGTTTGCGACGCTGTGTGTCTCTGTGTTTCCCTGCAACAAACTGGCAACCTGTCCTGGGTGTACCGTGCCATTTACCAATAGACTGCCAGAGATAGGCAACGGGCCCACCACGACCCTGACAGAATAAGCGAGAGAATATGGATGGAATAAAAAGTCAGAAAAAAAATAGCTCCTTCAAATGTAATCTGATTTGTATCTCACCCATCTCAAGGTACTCATAAAAAAGGCCGATCTGGCTGAAGTTGAGCAGAACATAGTCCTGCTCCCAGCGGCTAATATGGTTTTCATGGTTGTGTCTTCCCCTTCTGCTGCTCCACCAGTTGCGCATCAACCTGTCAACAAGCCGTCATCAGTGAAAGCAGAAGTTTTATTTTTGCGCCTAAATATTTAAATTAATGATTATTAACAATAATCATGCCAAATGCTGAATTTATCAAAAGGGCCAACTTATTACATTAATTATAAAAATTAAAATCAGAAAATGAGCAAAGCTGAAGGTCTGTCAGATTTGATGGACTTACGGCAGCAGAGCCTCCTGTATGTTCCCCCACAACTGTTTCCCAGCCATGACGATCACCAGCTGAGTGGTCAGCTCTATCAGGCAGCCACCAGGATCACACTAGAGGGAGGAGAATTGTTAATCTATATCAAACTTAAGTGTTCTACAGCAGATCTTCGAAAAAAAAAAAACTCTCAGAAAACTCACCTCTTCATTCCTCAGTTTGGTCATATTTCCAAACATGTAGGAATACTTCCCTGGATAACCAACAAATTTCCCTTTAAAAAAGGCCACGTAGAAGCAGGATGAGTAGTAGTTAACAAACTGGAACAGAAACATCTTGATAGTCAACCGGTTCTCATATTCCAGGTGAGTTTTGGGGATTTCTGCGGAGAAGCAAATGACACATGAAGCTAAAACAGGTCTCCCATGTTGGAATTTGCCTTCAATCTGTGTAATCTCTTTACCCATATCAGTGATCCAGATGGCAACTCTTTCGTAAAAAAAGTTCAGGATCATGATGATGGCAAAATTAATGCAGGAAGCAGTGACAGACGTGGCGAGCTGTGGGTTGATAAATCTCCCAACCAGTTGGATCTTTCTCAATGGATCCTTAATGATGCTTGCGAAGGCTGCATATACAGCCAGCCTGTACGCTATCACCCCAATGATACAGGCCACGATCAAAGAAATCTGCACAGAGCAAACAAGCATCATGTAAAATAGATGACTGTAGGTGACAACAAAGACAACAATGTGAATTTATTTTTAGTTACCCAGAGTATGACAGTGGCTCCTGAGAAGCAGAAACGTGCACACTTGCTTGTGACGGGAAGATATGGCTCCATTTCCTAAAAATATACATTTAGTTTACTTCCTATCAAGCATTTTTTTTTATTTGAAAATGCATCTAAAATGTCTACAAATTTGATTTTAAATCAAATGGAATTTGTGACGTTTATTAGAAACCTGAACATTATCCCTTTTTAACCTGACAGTGACAAGCATAAAAAAGTAGATATGCATTATACATTTACCAAAACCACTTAAATTTGTCCTACAAGTAATCAAGTTAATTTCTGCATATTAACGTGCCCTGCGATAGACTTGCGACCTGTCCAGGTTGTACCCCGCCTCTTGCCCAGTGACAGCTGGAGATAGGCACCAGCACCCCTCGTGACCCTAGTATGGATAACTGTGTTGGAAAATGGATGGATTGATGCATATTAATGCTATTTCTACAGTATCTCAGCAAAAACGCTGATCAAATTTAAATATAGTACTACATAAAGCTGTCTGTCTCAAGTTATAATTTTTGGGCTTTTCGTCATGAGTTAAAGTTAAAGTGGAAGATTTTTGTGAATTTTTGAAAAGACCCGTTCTCTCCACTTGGATAGTTGTATTTTCTGGCGAGGTGAAAATTATCTTGATAAGTTTTATAAAACTGGGTTTTTAAAAACTAAATTCATTGATAATGATGAAAAATTGTAAGGTGGTTTTTTGGTTTTTTTGGGGGGTGGAGTGGGGGGTTTAAAGAGCTTAAAACTTTTTTATGGGATTTCAAGAATAGGACACGAAAGAAATAATGACCTGATGCCTGAATTGTTGCATATAATGCTTTCCTTTGCTGGTCTCTGCACAAACATTTCGTTATTTTATAACCTATGATAAGAGAACAATTCTTTTAAGATGTTCATTTACCTGTTTAACATTTTTTTTCTTAAAGGTATAGAGGAGGATTTTCGCCAAAGTTTGGAAAGACCCGCCCTCTCCATTTAAAAATAAAAATAATTCACATGCACAACCCTGTACCCGCTGCCGAGAGGGAACGCCTATTAAACGCGTGAGAGTATCCATTTCTCCTCATGCATGCTAGGGTTGTCAAAAGTATCGATACTCAAAAAAGTATTGATACTGAAACGTTGTATCCGGATACAATACTCGTTTTTAAAAGTATCGATACAGTGCCACCACCAGTGGCACCTAAACAGTCATTCATCTAAAGTGCAGAATAGAGGAAAATGCACTTTCAGAACACTGTGTGATTGAATAATTCTGTGCACTTTTCAGTTTCAGACTTTTTTTTTTGGCTAGTGTCATTGTTATGTGTGCAAAGCATACCCAAGGAAGGAACACTTAATTTTAATTTTATACGTTTTTTTATCAAGCTTGCTTAATATTGTGCACAGCATACAACCTCAAAATATTGTTCTTATTGTTCATTGTATTTATTTATTGTATTTTATTTATTAATGGAAATATTTCTGTAGAATTTTGGAGTCTTTGTTTTAATCCTTGTGGTATCGAAAATGGTATCGAGTATCGAATATTTTCCTTAGTATCGGTATCGAGTTGAAAAGTTTAGTATCGTGACAACACTAATGCATGCTCTCTTTAAAAGTTGCTGTTTGCATTGCAATTTTTCCACTATGTCAGAGTCATCACCGGTAAGTGAAAATGGGGATGAGCACGTAGGACGGCCTTACGTAAACATATCACCAGAATGATTGACAAATAGGAAAACCACTTCATTAAGATGATCCTCGGGAAAAAAAAAAAAACATCCACCACTACCATTAAGGACCATTTTGCCAACCTCACACATGTTTAATTTCAAAAGGTGATCCAAATCACCATCTAATGAGAGAAATATTGATATTCAATCTCCTCCATAGTCAGAGCTATTATTGACTCATGTCTAAATGGTGTTTAATGCATGCTAAACTGTTTTTTTTTTATTCCCGTCAATCTCTGCAAAATCAATAACAAAGTATTATTACACACATATCAAAAAAATCATCTGTATATCTTTTTCTATATTTAGGTTATTTTTCAGATGTATTCTTATTAAAAATACTGACTTATCTTTGTTATTGCATTTATGTTCACAAAATGTAGATGTGTGATCATTTGTAGTGCTTGAAATCAGAGAATCAAACACCTGTGTGATCTTGTTTTTTCTCCTCTTTGTGCATTTGATTTCAAACTCTGGGCGAATTTGAAGCTGCTGCTGTTCCTCCTCGAAATCCACCAGATCCCATTCGTACTCGAGTCGAGCCTGACGTCGCTTCCAGAACTCCAAGAACAGAGTTACTGCCCAAATGATATTAAAATACAGACACATTGAAATGAACAAAACATTTTATAATGGTTTAATTTAAAAGCTACAAATATGTTTATCAGTGTTTATTATTTACATTCATTGGAAATTATCTATTTTTTTTTACAATGCTCTGTAAAAAAAAAAAAGTCATGTTTGTGTAGAATTTCAACTGATATGAAGTAGTTGGAATCTGTCCTACTGCTAAAAACATTTAAAAAAAAACCTCTGTAATGGTATGTTTTTATCCTGGATTCATTTGGTTAAAGGATAATCCTTCACTGGGTAGAGTTTCAAACTGTAAAACAATGGGGGTGGTTTACTGGATCAGTGGAAACTCACCCCAAATCCCCATAAATATGGCAAAGAATATTGTTCCCTCGTTGTCAAAGAGATGGGATTGCTGAAAGACAGAATGAGGAAAAAGATCCACAGAGAGGCAGAGATGTTAGGCACATATACTCAAAACATATTGGCCACTCAGCATTATACTGGTGTTTTAATTGTGGTGTAATCTATTCTGATTAATCTAATCCTGTATTAAATTAATACATTTGATAATATGTTGATGAATAAAAAAGGAATATCATGAAAAATATGTTAACTTTAATTGGAAATAATTTGAAGACAACATACAGCATATATAAACTGAAGTCATATAATCTCAATGCTTGAATATTAAATAGAAAAATGCAATCGGATTACCCAGGATGAGAGACAGGTGGTGTTGAGCTTCCAAAAAGGACACTTTTTGTCACAGAGGGGGCACATCAATATACTGCCACCGATTTCTGGATCACAGATTTCTGCACTGAACATGAAAAGATAAAACAGTTTCCTCTCATATATATGACTAAACAGACTAAACAGATTCATTTGGAATTTGCATTCCTACTATTTTCTGTGAAATTTCCCCCTGGTTAATGAACCATTCATAAGCATTTACTGCAAAATGTTGTCTAACATGAAACAACACAACTGACCCACACTGAGTAATGACATTAATGTTATAAAATATCAGTGATGTTCAAAAGGAGCTGTGCTAAATATCGGATTTTATAACTTGGTCTAAATGTTGGGTCCAGACTATAAGTAAACACAGCAATTTAAAGGAAGATAATTTTAAGTACAATTCTACTGTGAATATTTTTCACATGCCAGTTTGTACTGACATTATTACATTACTGTATTAAATAAAGCCTTCATGAAATGATTGCCTAAAATAACTGATTTCAATACTAAGCCAAATGATAAAGAATTATTGATTTCTGTTGAACCTAAAGTCTTCTGGACAGTGAAACAAAAATTCCCTAATTTAACTTAATATAAGTAAAGATGCAATAAAACATATGAAAGAGTTTTGTAAAGAAATTAATGTGAAGAACAAAGTTTGACTTAAATGTTTTTGACATCTCCAGGGTTCCTACAGCATAAGGCAAGTTAAATTCAAGACTTTTTAAGACTTTTTAATGCCACTAGAAATAAAAATTTAAGACCAAATTCACAAGAAGCACAAGAAAAATCTGCTTGCGACAACTTAACCCAAAAGGTTTATTATAACATAAACCACTGCATTAATGTTTCAAATTTTGAAAAGCTTCAGATATATTTTAACAATTTAACTGAATTCACAAACTTTGTTTTAGCAGGGAACAAAACAAATCAGTTTTAA